CAGCTTTCATGTCACGTTTCATGCTTTAGTGAAATTTAACAAGGCTGTCACTCACGACATCAGCGTCATGGCCGTGAGAAACTGCAATGCACATGTAACGTACACATAGGGCTACATACAGCACGCAGGCGTACACACAGCTCTCGTGCGTATACACACACACACACTCTTGAAAATACACAAGCCGGGCTGTTTCTGTCCCGGCATGATCTGTGAAAGCACACGCGGGCTTTGATCCTGAAAAGCTTTTATCGTCGTGCTTTATCCCCGCGCACGCTTTCCCTCCGCGTCGACCGCGGTCTAGAGGCTCTCACCTCTCTTAACATCTCGCCACTTTTATCTTTTTCAGTCGGATCGAGGACAACTAAATTCACATTTAAACAGATTCCACATATTGATTTTATTCAACTCTCTTACTGATCTAATCACATCACAATTTCTTTTTAACATAATAAAACAATCAAAAGCATTATTTTTCCTGTTTCATCCAGCTTTCATTTGTTCCACTTGTTTTGGCTTTGATCAATACAGACTTTAACCATTTTCATCGACTATATTATTAAACTACATTATTGATGTCAACTTGCAGCACATTAAAAAAGCTGCAAATAAATGATGACTAAGCCCCGCATTTAGATAGTCTATGCTATTCTTCCTTTATTTTGTAGTACAATGCACCAATTTTCATTTCTAATACTGAAACGACACACCTCTGAGTCCACTCTTTAGTGGCCACTATGCTCGAAGACCCCAATTGTGTCACCTGAGCCATTTAAATACGTGACCTTTGACCTGGTTGGCCAGGTGACCGGTCTAGAACACTACCTAGGCAGCCCGAGCATTCCCTACGGGAAAAATACAAGTGCTACAGGTAATTAGAACTAATAACAATGATTTATTAAAGGGAATTATACACTGCTGTGTTTGTGTAACTAATGATGTTTGCTCAATCTAATGGATGTAATAATAACGTGAGGCCTTCTTTGGCCTTAAGAAGCATTAACGCGTATGTGAGAGTCAGAAATAAGCAGAAGCTGCCCTTGGTCTAGTCAGAGTTGTGTTTCCTTCTCTTGCTTGTTCTTCTAAAAAGAAAAGTTCACTACAGAATCCAAAAGTGTTCATAAAAATGGTGCTTGAACGAGTTTTTTGTTATTTTCTTTGATACATTATGGAAGTTCAGAGCAGGAAGACAAAACAGGGATGGAGAATGAAGAGCAACACATAACCCAGCACATCAGCAATGAGTGAGTTACACACACACTTAATATTTGATGGTTTTAAAAAACACAATTTCTACATTTGTCTACAAATAAGATTTTATGGTTCACAATTTTTTTAAAAAAGGTTTTTTTTGTTAATTTCTGTCGCTATCCTACTTTGATCAAAATTGTAATTTTTTTTTAAACTTTTTTAAAAACTGGAAAATACAGATGAGGTTACATTTTCTACATTAACATTTAAAAAAACAAGTGGAATATTTTTGCAGTATATGTGAAAACAGTACTATGAAAAATAAAACACGCCTTGTATTAAAAGCACAAAGAAAAATGTATTTACACAGAATTATGGTAAAAGCGTGTCTTATTTAAGTAAAACAAATGTTCATCCAGTAACACTGCTGTCACCATACATTTAAAAAATCTCTGAGTGCTGTGCCAAATGATGTCCAACTTACATTTGTTCACAAATGAGCAAACTATGTAAGAATATAGAAAATATCTCAGTTGTTTGAATAAAAATAACTAGCATTACTCTGAGCGTGAAACACACTCACGTCCATACAGACCGAGAGATCCTTTTCTTACCTCAGGGTGTAATCGGGTCCGTTAGCAGTCCTTTACTTCCACAAAGCATTACAGAGCTGTACGATCCACCAGCTTCCCCTTCACAGGCAGGCTCGCTGGTCTCTCACACACTATCGGAAAACACACTGAGCGCTCGTCTCTGTCTACCTGCCTCTCCTCACTTTGCACTCCAGGTGTTACGTTTATCTAGTTTCTGCTTTAAGGGAGCAAATGACGACTTTTTTCCTGCTTCCTTTTGTGACGCTCCCTTTCACTCAGAAGAAATATCTAGGGGCTAGAAAATGACGACCACACAAAAACCAAGCGTTTTCTCTTCCTCTCTGTCTCTAAGGTCAATCCATGCTCAGCTTCTGTCTTCTCGACTCCAGTAATGGGGAACATTTCACTCGTCCCATTTCCCTCCTCCTTTGCCTCCACCCCCTCTTTTTCTCTTCTCCTCTTCCTCCTCCTCCTCTCTCCCTCCCTCTCCCTCTCTCAGCTGTCACTCATTACAGGCTCACTCAAGCTTACGTTTAAACCCAAAGAACTTTTTAAATGTAACAGATGTCATTTTTTTTTTATGTGTGGGTCCAATCCTAACATAGGCACCGTTAAACTTAATTCCCTAACTCGATTGTGAATGAAAACATAAAAGGAAGAGAATTTAAATGAAAAACAGAAGTAACTAAGTTAGGAAACATCTGAGCTGTACACACGTTTTTAGGATGTTTCCTAAAATCAAAGACATCCACGTATATAAATCCTGCTGATGGCAGCTCTGCCGTGATTACTTCCATGAAGCTGAAATGGTGTGGACGCAGTGTCAATATCTTGCTGTGCAGTAGAAAGTACAGGCCAGACCATAAACTTCACACCATGCAGGAGACCCCCCCCCCCCCACCCACCCTTCCCCATCTCACCCACTGACTCACATGTGCACCTGAGCACATGCGCACACACATACTTTCAATCTGTGTTAACTGGAAACACACGGCTGCACATCTGTCTCATATGTGAAGTCTAACAGAGCTAGCGCAATGGGCTGAGTGTAATATCAAATCACACTCACACACGGACACACAAGCGGCCAGTTTCCTCAGTCTGAAGATGGCACCCTTTTACAACAACAGGGGTCAAAGTGGGCTCGGAATGATCTGGACCGGCGTTCCGGCGCTGTCAACTAACGAGCAATTAACTCCAAAAAGGCATCTTAAGACGTGTTACCATCAAACGAGTTAATGCTTCATGGAGATACTTGCTCAGTAACAAGAAAATAAAGACATCCCACAGCCCACTTAAACCCTCCACACATCCTTTCCTCTCATCCGTGTGATGCGGAATGCTCAACAAAGCATTGTAGAGCAGGCTAAACAGGTTGGCTTGTGCTATTATGGTGAAGTTCACAGTGATACACTATATGCTGGACTGGTACACAGGAGACACGGCATTCAAGATCAGTGTTAGGTTACATCAAAAGGTAACAAAAATCTGTTTATATTTAAGGTAAAGATGCTGATTAGAATCACTCACTGAATTCTACCTTTTATATTAGCTTCACAGTGTTTATCATACTGGAAAATCAGCCATGGCTCATGAAACATTTGCTTATATCTTGTAGAACCCACCGAGAGCCATAAATCAGGGTAGCAGCTTGGGTCAGCTGATCACAGCTTCACAAGTAATTCTTTTACCCATACGGTGCCTTTACAACCAATCTTAGGGTTCC